TTAAGGAAATTACACCATAACTAGCCTAGATGTAGTACTCAATGATCCAAATATAACACTTGCATGAGTAGTTAGGGATACCACAACCTAAGCAGCTTTTATTTGTTATTTTGTATAATTTCAGTAGGTTAAATTCGTTATAATTCATTGATAGTCTAAATAATAGAGAAGCTTTAGTAATACCGGTAATTGTTCACTCTTCCCTGTGGGATCGACCCGATATATACCCTAAACTACTAGTTGATCTGTATACTTGCAGTGAACGGGTGTAATTCGGTTTTTTAACTTGCATGTATGTAAAATACCCGTCAACTCCACCCGACTTCGTAGTCATACTCGAGCATACCAAAACACTGTCCCAGAGCCACCAGCCTCCCGACCGAATTCGTTAGCAACGAAGGGTAAGGGCCCAATTCAACCAATGCGATATAGTACACATCGCTTACATTCATGCACAAGTAATATTCAATCATTTGATCATTGAAAATTCACATTCACATAGATCGAGTGTGATAAAGTACACATTCGTCCATTGAAAATCCATTTAACAATCATTGGAGAACATTTAGCACTCAAACAAACATTCAACATAGTCATTTATTGCACAAACATGCAAGGAACACTCACCAATGAATCACAATAGTTTCACTTCAAACCCCTAATTTGTCGTCCTAAATATGCTCAATTCCTATGATCAAATAATATATCAAGAATCTAACCACTTGAGGCACACATAAATGACAAAATGTAAGTTTCAAAACTTCACTTAGAAAACAAAGTAATTTGCAGGGTTAACCCTCATATCACTTGTCAAAAGTGCCACGGTTTCTTGTTCAAATCAAGGTCAAATCAAGGCGGAAACCATATGTATGATAGCTCAATGTTTCAAGTATAATATAGGGCAAAAATACGTCACTTAAAGTCAAGAATTTTGAGAAAAAACTAGTCAAGATTTGTAATGTTCAAAGCTGGAAATTTCTGACTCTAAAACAGTTTGGGAAAAACTCATTTCCTTTCACTTAAACCTCTTTCTTTGGCCCAAAATCGATATACAAGTAAAGAATAAGATTGTAACAAGTGTCTCGAGTAATGTCATATGCAAAAGGAAAGAAAAAATATCCTAAAGTTACACCTCAACTCTCACTCTCTCTCACTTGACCAACAAGGAGAAAAAAATCCAGCAATATGTCCTCCAATTCTTCAAGTTAACCATTCAATATTCAACCCTTGTTTCATGGCAATTTGCAATTAATCAAGCTAACACGTTATAAGGCCTATGTGGTACATATTCTAGGCATCAAAAGCTATCAAACTTTGACATATAAAAAGCTCCAAGTAAACTACATCAAAGATGGAATTTTAAACCCAAAAGCTGAAAATTTCAACCAAAGCTGGAAAACTGCATATAGAACTTAGAAAATTCATATCAAAGCTGAAAAATCATACACCAAAGTTTAAAAGTTCATATCAAAGCTAAACATCTCGTATCAAAGTTGAAAAGGGTTCGGTGTGAGGGCCCGAAAATTTTCTTATTTTTATCTTATTTTACTGACTTATTAATTATTTATTCACCCGTTTACCCCGAATAATTTATTTCATTCATTTTAAACCCATTTGTACACAAAAACGTCTCATTTATACTTTTAAAACGTTTCGCTAGCAAATTTAATTTTTCGGAGACTAGTTTAGTGAGAAATAGAGAGTACACGTTTTCGAGACAATATTCGATCCGAAAGTGCAATAATCTTGGAATATTAAGAATGATCAATAGTAGACTAAGAAAAGTTAATTGAGGGATTAGAGGTGAGTGAGTTCAAATTTTCGCCTTATCGCGCGCAAATCGGAAGTTCGCTAAGTGAAAATTTAAGAAACTTATACTAAACTACTAAGAGTTAATAATTATACTGTTAAAGGAATTACATTTGAGGATTAGTGTACAAGTGCAACAAACAAGAGAGAAAAGTGGTAGTACACTTCACTATTCACACACTATTGCGAGTTGACTTTTTGCACTTTAACTTGGCTTCCTTAACACACTTCATCCACCAACCATCAACACACAAAACCCTCTCTTTTCTCTCTCTTGGAGCCCGCCGAAAACAGCAAAGGAGGAAGAGGAAGAGAGCTCCACTCCATCTTACTTCATCTTGCTTCCATTTCACTTCCAAAATTGCAACCAACTTCAAAACTACTTCGAGATTAACCTTAGCTTGGAGGAAGACATCATCTAGTGGCAATTTCTTGGAGTTTTTGTGGTGAAATTTCTGGTTTCTTCAAGGGTTAAGGAGGTAACCGTCAACTCTTGCAATCTCTCCATTTTTCTTCAAGAATCAAGCTTAGATTTCACGGGTTTGACAACCCTAAGCTTGAAATAGGTAGAGGACATCAGGAAACCCATTTTATCTTGTTTTAACACTAGGCTAGTGGACTTGGTGATGCCTTTAGGTAGCTACCTTGAGGTGTAATTAGTTGATTGTGGTTGTTTACATGTTATTTGAGTTGAATACGGTTAGAAAGTGAAGGAAAAATCGAAGGAAGTTGGTGCATGAAGCTAGCCGAAACTGCCCTGTTGTTATCGTGCATGCATTTCAAATTTTTGTTGGTTCCTTGGCTTTGAAATTGGTTGATATATGTTGTATATTGTGTGTAGAAAGTGTCTACCAAAAATCATTTGATTTGGTTGAGCAAAACTTGAATTTTCGAAATTTGAAGAAATCTGGAAATGGGTTCAGGGCAGCCAAACAGTGCTCCTTTGATCGAACATATCTCTCTGTATAGAAGTTAAAATTGAATGCCATTTGTGGCATTTGAAAATAGACATCCGTATCTTTCTAATGGTATAAAAATCATTTGCTGGTTCAAAATGACCGAACTGTAGTGATCCAACAAAGTTGACTGTCCTGTTAGGCCTATCTATCCGAGAGGAAATGAGAGGCTGAAACTTGTGGCTTGAATTTGAACTACTTGTGAACTGATTTTGGAAATGATTTCTTCTGATGAAATGTAACATATTGAATCTAGTTTCCAACTCCACCAACCATTCTTAATTTGAACTTGTATTGAGTGAGTTATGGCCTGATTTTGAAAGTGCGATAAAGCTGGAAAACTGGAAAGTTTTTCCTTCTTGCTGGCTGACTGGTCTAGTTTGTGGTGGGATGTTTTATTTCGAAAATTTTGATGTCAATCAACCATCAAGTGTTTATTAAAGGTTTCTAGGACCTTGGTTTCAAAAATAGATCAAATTTGGACTGATTTCATAGTGCAAAATGTTTGGAAAAGAAATAAAAGCAAGAAGGCAGATTAGCCTTGAAATATTTTCTGAACTTTGGTAGTTTTGTTAACTGCCTTCCCACGTAATTTTTTGCATAAAATTTGATACAGGGGTAGTCCATATACAGAGGTTTAAGTGTACCAAAGTATGTTTAAATTCAATACCATTTTGATACCCAAATAACGCCCCAAAGTTGGGTCTTCAAATCTGGAAAATTTCTGTATAGTGTACAAATTCAGCTGAATTTATACTATTATATATCGATGCTCAAAAACTCCAAATTTAGTTCCGTTTGTCATGTTCGAAACCTTGGTTAGAGCTCTTAGTGTGTCACAAATTTCAAGGGCTAATTCAATTTCTGTGAATTACAGCGAATTTCCAAAGATGACTGCAAAACCAAGACTGTTTTAAACCTGTTCCATTGGAACTGAAACTTTGAGTTGAAAAATGATGCTTTCCGTTTAGAATCTTGGAAAAATGTCTTCTAGGGACTTTTACCACTTTGGATCTAGTTTCCAAATGTATAAATTTTTCCATTTTTGGACATACAAAACTCAAGATCTGATTTTACCAAATTTGTCGCGCAAAGCTGAAATTCTTGATTTCTTAGAAAATGAACTTTTAAGAACTTTCCATCCTCCCTTGCAATTGTTGGACAGTTTTAGGTATAATTTCATGGAGGAATACACGGTTTTATTAGAACTTTAAACCTTCATTTCAAATCTTGGTTTCCGAAGGTTAAACCTTTCCTAATGCGTTTTCTTGGTTGTTCTACTTTCTTGGTTAATGACACCTTATTTTATACTTGAACCTTGGAACCTTAGCTTTGATATTTTTTTTTTCTATGAAATGAGTGGAGTTTTGGATGTTTGACTTCATTAGCTTGGAAAAAAAATGCGAATACTCTTTACCTTCCAAAACTTGGACATGAGATTTTTTGTAGCCATTGAGATTTTTTGATCTTTTGTTTATTACTATAATTCTTTATTCATCTCCTATTTTTTCAAAGAATAAAATTTCCGACTTCTATGTTGAGGATAAGGGCAGATTTGTCGCTTTAGGTATTTCTGTTTGTGGGTTTAAACAGTTTTACTAAAAGGGGTGCATGTAATATGGTCAAATCTCAGGGTCTGATTTGTAATTTGGCCAAACCTCAAGGGAGGCAAATGTAATTAACCGTCGTTTTTTTTACTTTTTCCACAGGCTTGGTCTCCTTCATGCTTCCCTTTTTTTTTTTTTGAGGTGTAAGAATGTGCTGTTGGGTTGCTCAAGCTGAAGTCTATTAGTATAGGTTGTGTACTTTCCTAGGGGAATAGAAATGAAGCAAAAAGAAGATGGGAGCAAAGCTGCAACCTTCTCCATGCATCTGCGAGCAGCTTAGCAATTGGGAAAAGCAAGGGAGGATTTTTTTGTTTTTTTGGGGGGGGGGGGGGAAGCGCAGAGAGAGTTTTAATTTTTATCAGAAGTTGAGCTGAGAGCTGGAGGCAAAATGGCCTTTTTAATCAAATCCAGTAGAAGACATCTAAAGAGTAAGACATTTTACTTAGGAGCAAAGAACCTCCTAGAATATTTAGACATTTTTCTTCAGAGCAAAGAACCTCCTAGAATATTTACCGATTGTTACCTTGTATTTACCCTCTAAAAGTGCTGTGTTGGAGCTACATATAGCTTTGATTCAACAAAGATTCAGGTTATTATTAATGTCATGCCTTAATAACAACTATCAACACTATACTCTCTGCTTCGAGCGTGAGTCTCCTTCCTTTACGAATTTTGAGTCTCCTTCCTTTATAAACTTTTTCCAAAACCAATGCCGCATCCAGACAAGCCTCGTCATGTTATATGTTCCAATTTGAGAGGCCTCCGGCACTAAAATGTATACAAAGGAAGTAGCAAAAGCTGCAAAGAAACCTGTGAACAGATAAACAAAGGCCTCGATTGTACAAAACATATGGATTAATGCCACATTCATGATAACCATCGTGAAAGGGCCAAGACTCTTCAACCAAGCGTCTGCTAGTGCTCCACCAGATCCCCCTATTGAGCTCTTGATCCAGCCATATGGGTTGGTTAGCATATTGAAGCCAGCATAGTTCAGAGCTATTGCTCCTATCATATTATAGGCAACAGGCTTTGTGAAATCGCTGTGTGAATTTGCAAAGAAGTGTAAGACTACCCACAAGGAGATCTGCAACAATTAGAAAAGTACTAATAAACCAAGAAATTATTGCATGTCTATATGGTGAACCCTTAAGTGTAAAATCATAAAAGGAGGATGAATGTCAAATTTTGAATCAAAAGGGGAGAAAGGTAAGAAGTGAAACCTGTGATAATAATGTAAGGAAAGAAGAACCAATGGCCACCCTTCTTCGTCCACATCTCTTGAGTAGAAAGAAAGAAACAAACAGTGTCATGAGGAAACCCCACAATCCAGCCCCGGCTGATGTGATGAATAGGATATGTGAGTTAGAAGAGACTGATGTTGAAGCCAATGGCCCGAAGAACATTAGAGAAGATGCTCCTAACAATTGAGGCACCAGTTCTGCTACTGCCTTGATGATCAAAGTAGCTCTGTTTTGAGGACTTAGCAAATCTTTGACCGCACTTATCTTTTTCTCATCCTCTATGGCTTTTTCAAGCTCAGCAAATTCCACATCAACAATGGTCTTCCTCGGATCCCTATACTTTGTGAAAACATGTCGAGCAGCTTGCACTTTGTCTTGCTGAATTAGGCATCGTGGACTTTCATCAATAAAAAATGAGATAACTAGCAAGACCACAGCGAGGAAACAGAGGATGCCAAACATGGTTCAAAGTCGCAGTCGCGGTCACGGTCGCGGCCCGAAACGTTCCACATTGGTTTCAGTATATCGGTCGCGGTCTCGGTGAGACGCAAATTTTAAAATATTTAATATTCTAAAAATTATTAATAATATAAAAAAAGTATGCTAAATAAAAATAATAAAAAATAGCAAAAGAAATGGCCGAGTCAATCCGTCACGATGTAACTCGACCGATTTCTCATCTTAACACGGGATAACTCGGAGTGACTCGGTGTGACTCGGCCGAGTCAATCCGTCGCGATAACGTCTCAGCCGATTTCTCGACGAGTAAAGTATCTCGGTATCGTTTCGTCACGGTAGGGGCCGAGACGGTGACGATTCAGCCGAGTCGTCTCGGTCTCGGCCGAGACTTCGAACCATGATGCCAAATGGAACTCTCCAGACCCATTTAGGTGAGTAGGATGCAATGAGATAGATCCCCAAGACAATAAAACCACCCAAACTTTGGTATCCATATAAGACACTTAGGTTCTCTTCTGGGGCTAACTCAGAGCATATAATGGGAATGACCTGCAATTGATAAACATAACAAGTTACATTAGTGAAATCCAAAAAATCTTCAAACAAATCAAATAATCAATTGTACTCCTCATAATATTATTGTACCTGATTTGTAATGCCGCCACCAAGACCACTCATAATCAAACCCACAATCCCCAAAAATGCAAGTGGAAGCCAAGAAAAGAGACCTGATCCCACTGAAAGCAGTATGAGTCCTATCCTGAGCACTGGCTTCCTCCCCCATCGATTGGATAATACATGTGCTGGCAGCACTGATATTGAAGCACCAAGGGGGATGATTGATAAAATCATTAGAGATTTAAAATCTGCATAAGTGCATAAGTTTGTTCTCTTTGCCATGTTTATCTTTCTTCTGACTTTTGGAAATCTTTTCAAGAAAATTGGTATGTTGAAAATGCCTCCTGAAAATCAACCGCTTCATGTCTAAGAAAAGTTGGACATGACACTTATAATCAGGATTGACAACAATCATTAATTCCTAAAAACTTCATATCATGTAAATAATCAAAATGTCAATTTTTTCATAGAAAAGAAGATTCATTAGAGGAATAAGGTGATATATTTATTATGTGTAAACCCAAGGCTTTGTAGTAGATTGTATGGTGATATATTCAATAGAGGAATATGTAAAAATTAAGCTAGTTCATTTTCAACCAAAACAATGCTTGTAAGCATGGTTCGCCGTCGCGGATCTCGGTCGCGTTGCAGTCTCGGTTGTTCTACATCCGTCGCGGCATATCGGATGAATATCGGGTGATACATACATTATAGTATATAAAAATTTTCAAAAAGTCTGAAAAAATTACTAAAAATATAAAATACCATAAAAAGCACAATTATCAACTTAAATTTACTAAATACCTACGGTATGATGCATTATTTAGATAATAATAAAATTATCTAAGTATATTAAATTTTTTCTAATCAAGTTTAATTATGCAAATCAATATGCATTATTTAGATAATAATAAATTTTTTATTATCTAAATATATTAAATTTTTTCTAATCAAGTTTAATTATGCAAGGTAATATGCATTATTTAGATAATAATAAAATTATTTTTTTATTATATAAATATATTAAATTTTTTCTAATCAAGTTTAATTATGCAAGGTAATTTGCATTATTTCGATAATAATAAATTTTTTTTATTATCTAAATATATTAAATTTTTTCTAATCAAGTTTAATTATGCCAGGTAATTTATACTTTGACAATTTGCCCAATTCAATTTTTTGTTTAACTAACTGCAACCAACTCTTTTTTTTTTTACTTTTTCTAATTAATTTGCCTAAAATCATTTTAACCAACATAATTGAGATACATGAAAATAAATAAATTACATTTATGATCATTAAAATGTATCCAAATAATCACTACATATTTTCTAACTAAAATTTAGATAAGAGACTACTAATACAAATTAATCATATACTTAATAATATGTAAAAAATGTCAAAAAGCATTACTTAAATTTACAAATACCTAAATATCATATCTGAATGCTAAATTAAAAAAAATTAAAATTGATAAGTTATTTTGAAAGAAGATGCGGACCTGTTGACTGATGCTTGGGTTTAAGATTAGGAGTCTAATCTCTTAATTACTTGGGCCAAAGCTGGACTTTACATGCTTCTAATTTTTCCTTCAATTTTTTTCCCTATGGCTGGCTTCGGTACAAAAGCCCATCTTCTGTTTAGTGCAGCCGCAAGTCCTTCAGTTTGTTTAATGCACTTGCGGATTCTTCCCTTCGGTTTGTTTAGTGCAGCCGCAAGTCACTGTGTGACGGCCCCACCTCCCCCTAAGGCAAACCAGAGGATTCGGCGGGTCGCCTGCCCAACTCTCGCCAGGACTAACGGTTTGGTATAGAATGAGCTAATACATCCCGAAACTTACCAACGCGGGTAAAAAAAAATAAAAAAATAAAAAAATCGAAGTCGGCTATGAATAGTAACCGACCCGTCAGAATCCAACCAAATAACAAGCAAACATTCCCATCTTGAAACTTAGCATTTATAAGCCAAAGTGGCATACAAAAGTATTCAAAAGTGGATACATGTCTGGTTTGCCAAATCAAAAGGAAAACAGTTCCCAAAAGTACATTTAAGATTTTAATACATGAGCTATACAAAAGATATGTTCAACTAGCTCAATTTGGCAGCCATTTGTCAAATCCAGTCCAAAAGTATTTATTTTCCTGTAAGGAAAACAAAAGGAACAGAAAGGGGTGAGTTTGCGCTCAATGAGGTACCAAACATATAGCAGAAAAATCATGACATTTCACATTTAACAAATCAGATACACATGCCAGATGTAAAGTAAAGTAACTAATGATTCACATAGGAAGGATACAGGTGGCTCTCAGGAGCCAAATTTCCAGCGCAGTACTTGATCCAAACCGGTTGACTCTCCGTCATATAGAACCAACGCGTCCGTAGACCCACTTCGCACCGAATTCCGTCCACCAAACACCCCTTTACCGGGCCCGCTCACCTCAAACGAACAAAATGGTAATACTCGAGTATACCCGGAATCAAGGGTCTCAATACCCAAAATTTCCGAACAGACTACCGTGGTTCGTTATCTAATCGTCCAGACCCTTGCCGGCCCGACTCGAATAACTTAGCCACAGGACTGAGCTCATAGGTCATAGAAATCCGAACAGATGCAGACACAGATAACAGATTCTAATTTTGCATAGTAAATTGGCATATGAACAGACAAGAGAACGAGTGTGATAAAGTACACACTCGTCTCAAACAAATAAACAGATTGCAGAGCAGAAATCAAGTTAAACAGCAATGGAGGGGAGTGGTACACTCACAGGCTCAATTTCGAAAAGTTTCACTTCAGATTGGCCTTAATCGCCAAGAAATCCTAAAATAACCAAAATAAACCAATTGAAGGTTTCACATCCATAATCGAGTAAACAAAATGCACATGAGGCTCGACTACTAGTCGTATGCCTCGCCAAATAATTACTAATGCAAGGGTACAAAACATGATTTTTGGGAACAAAAAGATAGCATAAAGACCTAGGTTCAACAACCCAAAAGCCCTTTTATTTCTGCCAAAAGGCAAATCCAACTTAAAAGAACCAAACGGCCTAGAAAATCGGGCAGCACTTCCCCTAAATTTCTTACTTTTCCAGCCATTAAGGCTTCATTATTTCCTCGAATCAGTCCAACATCTCACACAAAATTCACCTCATTTCCAAAAGCCATTCACTAGGCTCAAAGTAAAAGTTAACTAGGAAATGACCGGAATAAAAGTAAGCCTTAAAACATACAAAAAAGTACAATGAGACTCGATAACTAATCATAAATCAATGCCAAATATGACCCCAATAGGGTTCCATAAGCATATACAATCATTAGAGAAAACCAGAAAATTCGGAATTGCAATTAGCTTTGGCCCTGAAAAAACAGTTTTTGACTTCTTTTTTTACGGTAACGGTACCAAATGCCCTATGATTATCGGATGAAGGTGTAAGACCCATGATTTCGAAGCTAAAAGATAGGGCTACAACATCACAGAAGGTCACTCAACCCAGTTTTGAGTGCAAATAGGTCAAAAATGCAAGATACCACATCAAAAACGTAAAACAGATTCACCAAAACGCATTCTAGCGGAAACATCATAACTCAGGCTCTACAAGTCCAAATCCAGAAATTCCAAAACCAACTGAAATCTAAGAAACAGGGATAAATTTCATCAGAAGGCCTCAACAACCAATTCGGAATCAATTCA